AACTGTCATGGTCAAAACATATTGATACAACAGTTGCTAGGATGGGGAGAAGTCTGTCCATAATGTTCTGCATTCTTAACAGCACTATCAACAAGACAGGTCCTACAGGCCCTAGCTTTGTCACACCTGGACTACTGTTCAGTCGTGTGGTCAGGTGCCACAAAGAGGGACTTAGGGAAATTGCAATTGGCTCAGAACAGGGCAGCACGGCTGGCCCTTGGATGTACACAGAGAGCTAAAGTTAATAATATCCATGTCAATCTCTCCTGGCTCAAAGTGGAGGAGAGATTGCCTTCATCACTACTTGTATTTGTGAGAGTTATTGACATGTTGAATGCACTAAGCTGTCTGTTTGAACTACTGGCACACAGCTCGGACACTCATGCATACCCCACAAGACATGCCACCAGAGGTCTCTTCACAGTCCCCAAGTCCAGAGCCATGACTACATGGAACTCTATTCCATATCAAGTAACTCATGCAAGCAGTACAATTAGATTTAAAAAACAGATAAAAATACACCTAATGGAACAGCAGGGACTGTGAAGCAACACAAACATAGGCACAGACACATGCATACAAACACACGATAACATACTCACTATACACACACGTACACATGGATTTTGTGTTGTAGATATGTGGTAGTAGAGTAGGGGCCTGAGGGCACACACTTAGTGTGTTGTGAAATCTGTTGTGAATGTTTTAAAAAATGTATAACTGCCTTAATTTTGCTGGACCCCAGGAAGAGTAGCTGCATCCTTCCCTCCCTGCCTCCATCTCGCTCCCTCCATCTCCCGTTCCCTTTCTCTTTGTCTGTCGATCCCTCTCTCCCCTCCTCGCTCCAGATAGTGACTCTAAAAGGACATTTTATTGGCAAGGCAGCCTCATAGTTTCGCCAATGCGCTCCAGTATCAAACAGTTGTCATATAAAAAGCACTTAACAGACACAAACATCAATAATGAACCAATCATGCTCATCCATTTAGCTCTGACGGTGCTTGGCAGAGAGCAGTGTGCCTGTCTGTCCTCCGGGTTGGACCTCCAAAATTGCTCCTCTCCTCAATGCCATGGGGTAAATCCCAAATGGCACCCTTTTCACTACATTGCGTACTACTTTTGACCAGAGCCCTATGGGTGCACTACATAAGGAATAGGGTGCCATTTGGGATGCATTCATGATATTACTGTGGCTTTCCCTCCATAGGTGCCTGACGAAAGGAGAGATGAGTGGGAGCGAGGCCAGTTCTCTGTAGTAGCGCCAGCCAGGCTGGACAGTAATTGTGAACCTATGGGCATCCTTATGGGATCCTGTGCATTCTGATCACTGGGACCTAATTGACGCCAGTGTGCTTGCATGTGATGAGAGCACTGATCGTGGCCCACACACTGGATGACATCATACCACATGAATCAATGAGTTCCTTTACCTTACACTCCCAATCTGATCCTTAAGACATGAGAGAGGAAGGACACTAAGAGGTTCTCTTCAGTGAATGTCAACTCTCTGACATTGGTCCCCAGCCTCCCATTCCCTCTTAACCACTATATAGGCCTATCATTTTCACATCATGAATGTGCTGACTTCTAAGTGTTACCCTTATATATCCTCAAGCTTGAGATGCTGGGTGAAAATAACAGCAATTATTTAAACGACCACTAGGATCTAGTCAACAGATCTACAGGGAGCAAACTACAGGGTAATGGGCAAACTATAGGGTAATGTGAGTGCTTCTTTATCCTCTGCTCAGTGCTTCAGTAGTAGCCCTCTACAGATGATGTCCTCACTGCATTAGTGAAGTGTGGGTATCATGGAGCCTAGGCTTTCTACTCTGTCCCTGGGTTGGCAATGGTCAAACTTAAACCCGACCTCTCGGACCCTAGGAGGCCATTTCTCATTTGTGTCCTAGAACTGTCACTAGGAGGAAATTACTGGAAGATTAGAGTGTAACAGTCCTTTTATCAGCAGCAACCTGCTACTGCAACTTGTAATTCACTGTTCACCACGACACCAACTGACCCACCTATGATGCCACTGACTGAGCAGTCAGAAAGAATAATATGCTATTAAAGTATGCTGATTGCATGAGTAGTGCGGCATACGGTCACTTTCATCAAAAAAACATTCACCTACACAATGTCTTATCAAGGCAAAACATCACGGAGCTCCACAGGGTGCTAATTATTTACAGAGCCTTTCTCTCACTCCATGTTTTCCAGCTGACGCTCTACAGCTAAGAATGAGCCTGCTCAATCAATAACTTAGTTTATTGCTTTGCCATTATTAGAGTGGTCCAACACGCTGTGTATCTATGACCATGACTGTAAACACCTTTATGGAGGAAATCAGGCAATAGCAGGGGACGCTTATCAAGGATCCTTGGAGAGAAACAGGAAATTGAGTTTGTCCAGTGTAATGGTGGGTAGAGAGACAGGCAGACCGATCCCTTCCTATTAGCAGAGATGTGTTATTCATGAGGGCAAATTTAGTGTGAACTGTGTTTCATTGATATTCTACACAGTCACTTCTCACTGTCTAGGGACCAGAGCCATTTTATTTTCTTCATTTATTTATCTCTTTCCCCCTCGGTTACGGCTAGGAATAAAGGGACTGGGTGACCGCGGGGTCACAGGGTCAACCGTCAGGACCAATAGCGGGCTGTTAAATCATTCTCCCCCGTAACGAGCTATTAACAGCACCTGTCATCAGTAACCAGGGAGAGAGACGGGCCTGGGTGGGTGGGTAGGGGAGGGTAGGGTAGGGAGAGACACCAGCCCTGGGAGGGTGGGGAGAGAGACAGGCCCTAGGAGGGGGGAGGGAGATGGGCCCTGGGAGGGTGGGGAGAGAGGCAGGCCCTAGGAGGGTGGGGAGAGAGGCAGGCCCCAGGAGGGTGGGGAGAGAGGCAGGCCCTAGGAGGGTGGGGAGAGAGGCAGGCCCTAGGAGGGTGGGGAGAGAGACAGACCCTAGGAGGGTGGAGAGAGTAGGGGGGGATGGTAGAGGGAGGGAGTGACGAGAGTCGGCACCAGAAATAGCTGTGGTGCTACATTTCCAGAAACACATTATCTCTCTTTCAGAACCTCTTTTATTCTGTTGCATTCCAATAGGCATTATTGGCATATCTACACTTGTGTGTCCAAAGTTATTTATATAATACAACTTAGGCTGAATGGCTCATTGTGTGAGCAAACAATGCCGTTATGATTATGACACACATTCATTTCCTGCATTTTTATTTGATGACAGCTGTATTGCACCATCCTTATTTAGCGCCTCTCTGTTTAAATCGATCTGTCTGTCAATAGCTCTCCTAACAAACATTTCTCAACTCTATCTACATGATCTGTCTCAGTCATTCCTAGACAACCTTTTCTGTCTGGCTGTTGTGTGTGAATGCATGCATGTGCGTGTGTATATGTGTGTCTGCATGTTGTGTATCCACAATGGCTTGGGGGGTGATAAGATCAGTTAAGTGGCAGGTGTGTAGCGCCAGGTCTCTAGTGGCAATAGTCTAGTTGATGCCAGCTGCGGAGGAGACAGCCGCCGCGCCATGCCACTGTGCCGCAGCATGCCGCCGTGCCCTGAGTGGAGCTGAAAGTAGAATGAGGGTGGAACTCACACGTTCCCTCCCTTCTCACACACCGGAGACACCGAGACACAGACAAGCTTAGTGGTTATTTTAAGCAGCTCCATGGCATTTACATCAACAGCTCCCGTCTCCCTCTGCTACAGGAGAGGAGTAATGCTAAACAGAAACAGATCCTGGTCCAAGGGGAGGTTGGGAACGGAGAGGACAGGCGATATAACGTTAAGCCACTCAACTGCACTGTTTGGTTTTTCTCTCTATCTGAGGTGTTGATAGAGAAACTTGATAAGAGGGTAGAAGCAGTCATTTAAGGGAACAGATTAATCTGAGTTAAGAATCAATTTCTGGGTTCTGACATGCTGGGGAAGGGGGGGGGGGGGATCTTTACATATAAAACTTGATTAGCATCTGGGCCACTGATTCAAATTGTTTCCCTATCTAAGTAGGATCTACGCCTCTCTCTCCCCCTCTCCCCTCCCCCTCTCTCACTTTTTCTCTCTCTCATCATTTTCCAGTGTCATGGCTGATGCTGATACCTAATTCTATTAAAGACATGCATGTAGCAAAATGTAAATAAAGAAACGGAAGGCCTGGAAAAGTGTAATATAATCACAGGCCTTATTGTGACGGCAGCTCTGAGAGGTGAAAGGAAGAGGCACCGGATGGATAATGGAATAGATAAGGAAACTATTCTACCTGAGCGATTCAATGATTCATAGCTTGAACATAGTTTCTCTTAAATAAATGGCATCCAAAAGCAATGTAGTCCACACAAAGTGGAGTATGGTGAAATTGTAGTATGACATAAACAGTGTTGTTTGTGTTAGGAGATAAATGTCAATACTGTATATGTGTATGAAGAACAGCATACATTATAATGGAAAAAGGCGAGCGAAAGTATAGTATACGTTTGTAAATAGGAAATATGTCAATATTATGAATGTAAAGCTGTTTTTCAAATAGGCTGCATTATGATACATTGAAATATTCCTCAAACAGGGTGATTCATTTACTGTGTCTGAGTCTGTATTTGTTTTATATATCCTCATTTATTTCCCGGGAGCAATGCCGCATGTTTCCACACATTTAGTCAAAGAGCAAGTGCCATGCTCAATACATCTCCATGTAAATATTATAGCGAAAGAGAAAATTGGGGAGCGAGAAAGAGGGAGAGAGAGAAATAGACAAACAGATAAAGAGTGGAATGGAAATAACCACTATTTGATTTGGAAGTTTCCTCTCACAACAATGTAAGTAGTTTTTTCTGTACTTCCATTTTGTAATCATCTTGTTTTCCTCTTTGACATTCCTCTTGGCTTTGTGAAAGGGCGGTATAGTGCTTTACTGGTAGGCCTACAGTATGAGTGGGGGATGCGTGCACCAATGCAGTGAACCATCAAATGTGTCCTGATGCTGATGCCACTCTGCTGCAAGGGCAGAGACAAGGGCAGAGACAAGGGCAGAGAGGGCAGTGGCTGTGCCGTGTCCTCTGACCAAAGTGCATAGTCCTTTCCCCTCCGGCACTGTGGCGCCAAATGCACCTGTACACGACACATTACTATCAAGGACTCTTCGAAATCTGTGACCCCCTTTCTGACAGTACTCTGTGTGTTCCACAAAGGATGACAGAAGTGCAGTTTCCTCGGATACTGTTAAACAGTTTTACACACAGTTCTCTATCCTATTTAGTGTTCCCCAATGTTCAACCTTGAGAGGACCTGTATTCGGGAGCATGTTTGCATGGTGGATTGGGAGGATGCACAGTTAGTTCGTTGTCACCCAACTGCTGTCAGTTGACAAACAGGATTACAGGGCCTGCTCTGGGGAGCGGAGAGGCTTCTGCCCCTGTTCAAGTAACATGATGCACGGCACGGCACACCGCTCCTCTCCTCTACTCCGCTATGGTCACCAGACCAGACACACTGAGAATTACCACTGAAGGTCAGTGAAGTCAGACACTGAATGTCACAGCTTAGACACAGTTTGGGGAAGAGCAGGAATATTCAGATAAATACGTCTGTCTATGCTGTCTCCTGTCCTGAAAAATAGTAATTCCCTGCTCCTGCATTCCAGCGTAGCAGCCCTGGGATTAGGTAGCAGGGAGTTAAAAGGCAACAGAAACGTATCGATTAGAAGGAGTGAATCAGAGAGCCATGATGCCTTGAATAATAAATTGAAGGGAACACAGCCACCGCTTGTCAAATGGGGACTATCATTACGAGGGGATAGACTCCTGCATTTCTCCCATTGGTTGATTCCCCCTGTAGATAAGCTGATGGATAAGTCACACCACGGGGCCATGGAAGCGTGTTACCAAACAGCAGGAAGTCTGACTGTCTCTGAGAAACTTAACATAGGTTTAAGTGAGCATTCCACAGCCCATTTACCCCCCCCCCGCTTTGACAGGTGTGCTTTGACAGGTATTTTCTAATCCTTGCCGTAAATGACTGGTTAATTAGAAGGAATTTATAGCACCAACACACACTCTCTCGCTCTCTCTCCCTCTGACTATGGTTCTGAGTATAGTAGAGTTGTAGTGAGCTGATGGACACAGATTAACTGCCTCATAATACTACTATCTCCCAGAGGTGAGGATATATTGGAAAACTGAGAAAAAACGGAGATGTAGTATGTGCAGGAGGTGGTACATGAACAAAAAAGCCCATACTGTAATATAGATCCAATCAGACTTCCTGAGGTACTAGATCCAGTGACCGACTGAAGCTCATGTTATTGTTTGGGCTGATCTTGAACAGACTTTAAGAGCAACACAGGCCTCAGTCTGTAACCGACTTAGACACCAGAGGATTTGGAGTTGTGGATACCGAGCCCAGAGCGTAATGTATTGAGTGGCTCGATAGCAGCAGAATTCCTCAAAGGCCCAACGCCACTCCGTGAAGCCAGAAAATCTATGATAGCAACAGGTCACATGACTCATCTATCAGGCCAGAATACGTTTTTCTCTCTTATATAGATATATCTGACAGTCTCTCTCTGCTCTGGCCCCCCTACATCATCCCTCATACTGTTTACTCCTGACCTGGCTGTCTCCATATCTCCCATCTGCTTTATCATCCTACCCGTCCCTTCTTCCTAGTCAATATCTCACTCTTTTATCACTTTGATTCCACTTACAGTAATTCTCCTCTCCCCACAACTCATCTTTCTCGACTTTCACAAAAAGAATATTCCAAAAAACATTCTTCTTTCCTTTCAAGTCCCGAATTAGACATCAAAGTCAGACGGCAAAATTTCAATTCAGAATCAAATCCCCAGTCTAAATGTAGCTACCTCCTCTAATTCGTTTCCCTCTCTCTCTCTCTCCTCTCTCCAGGCTGCGGGCTAGAGTTCCTGCTGGTTCTCTGTGGTCTGGAGCTATGCTGGTCCTGCCCACACCACTGTATCTGTTACACCGCGCCCAGTACCGTCAGCTGCCAGGCACACAACTTTCTGTCCGTCCCCGAAGGCATTCCCCCGCACAACGAGCGCATCTTCCTGCAGAACAACAAGATCCACCGGTTGCTGCAGGGCCACTTCAGCCCCACCACGGTCACACTGTGGATCTACTCCAACAACATCACCTACATCGAGCCCTCCACCTTCCACGGCTTCGCCCAGCTGGAGGAGCTGGACCTGGGGGACAACCGTCACCTGCGCTCCCTGGCTGCAGACACCTTCCATGGACTGGGCCGACTCCATGCTCTGCACCTGTACCGCTGTGGGCTCAGTGCGCTGCCCAGTAACATCTTCCAGGGGCTACGCAACCTGCAGTATCTCTACCTACAGGTACGTTGGCCACTGGGGCTCTATGGCACTCTGAGTCAAACGAAACAATGCTGGATTTTACATTTGAAAATACAATATATATACCCGTGGCTGTTAAGCTTTAGTTTCTCTGTCCTACTTTATAGTAGCCACATACCTTATAACCAAACAACATGTTGGTAGGTACAGTGTTACAGAGTACTGTAGGTGTATAACCTCTCCATTTTGCTGTGTTTGGCTGTTCTCAGGATAATCACCTGGAGTTCCTGCAGGATGACATCTTTGTGGACCTCCACAACCTGAGCCACCTGTTCCTGCATGGGAACCGTCTGTGGTCGCTGCACCAGAACACCTTCCGGGGGCTGGGGGCCCTGGACCGCCTGCTGCTGCACCACAACCAGCTGCAGTGGGTGGACCGCCTGGCCTTCCACGACCTGCGTCGCCTCACCACCCTCTACCTGTTTAACAACTCACTCACCGAGCTGTCTGGAGAGTGCCTAGCACTGCTGCCTGCTCTAGAGTACCTGCGCCTCAACGACAACCCCTGGGAGTGTGACTGTAAGGCCATGTCACTGTGGGACTGGCTCAAACGCTTCAGAGGTTCTACTTCGTCCGTTGGCTGCCAGGCCCCGGCCGAGCTGGCTGGGAAGGACCTCAAGCAGCTCCGCAAGGAGGACTTCCCCAACTGCTCTGGCTCTGAGTCTCTGCACCAGAGCAAGACCTGGGCCGGGACTGATAAGGTATCACTGAAGAAGGAGCCACACCCGGTGCCACCGCCTCACTCCCACCCCCACCGCCCTCACCACAACGAGGCACCACACTATCCCTCGCCGCCCTCGCCTCTGCCCCATCCGCCCCCATCCATAAACGGGGAGGGCCCGGGTTCAGAGGGACAGCCTGGGGTGGCGCCCCCTCAGAGGCCAGGCCGCGCTCGGAACTGCACCCGCCAGCGCGTCAGGGGAGGCAAGGGGAAGGGGCAGAACGAGGTGCATACCTTAAAGGAGATGGCCGATAAGGAGTATTCCTCGCCTGATTTTGAAGGGGGCAAATATGACCACACGTCCCCGGATGGCACCGTCACGCGGAGGAAGCATAAGTGCCCTCCCCAGACCACTGTTCGCCCCCCTAGTGGGGTACAACAAGCCACCAATAGGGCCACGTTCTCCCAGCCCTTAATACATCCCAACGCCATACTGGGAGCTTTGTTGCTCATGACCATTGCCCATATTCTCCGCTGACCTAGAGTGGGGGATAGATACTGGCTAAACATCAACAGTGCAGTCCTCAGACCTGCTCTAGCTCCTGCACACCAAGGCCTGTGTGTGTGTACTTTGTGTGTGTGTGTGTATGTGTGGTTGTGTGTGTAAAACATTGTGTAGGGAGCTGTTTAGACTCTGAAATAGACTTTCAAACATCAACATCAAATGTGAAAAGACTCACGCCACTGTGTGAGGGACGGGGAGTGAGGAAAGACGAAAGGAAAACACAGAACACGCTTGCACTGCCACTGTTGCCATTATGTTCTCATTTCCTCTTTCTGTCTGAGTCTGTCTTTGACTCTGCTGGAGCACAGATAACCAAACTTTGGGGGAAAAGAAAGAGATGTTGAAATGCAACAATTTAGCTATGAGATAGTTAGGCTCTAAGGGAAAAGTGTTGAAGCCAGCTTTAATGATCAGTTCACAGTTTGTAAATCCTTATTGAGGGGGTGAATTAGAAAACAGATGACGTGGTGAAAGAAACCATCACACACAGAGAAGTCTAGCCCAATCTTGTGTTTCATATTATTTGCCCGAAGTTTTTTATTACATTCCTTGCCAATAGCGGCTGCATAGAATTGGGGCGAGGTATCCGAGGGTATTGCTCATCAACAGGGAGATAAGCAGCAAGCTGCCCGGTCATAAATCATAATTCCATATCAGAACAGGAATGTGCAACGCTCACTTCTTAGCAAAAGTAATGGAAAACTACAGAAACAGCACTGCAAAGTGCAGCACACACACAGACCAGTCAGCTCCAGCTACAGTAGGATAGCTAGGTAACTTCTGCTCCATGCCCATGTAACATTGACCCCAAGCTACATATCTAGGTATACATCTTCTACCTACTTTAGTGTTTCTACAATATTTACGTCCTGCTTTATTAATTCCTGCGTCTAAATGTCCTGTCTTTCTACATGCTCCATTTCATTTTCTACATGTGCTACTACATATTAAGCTAATATACCCAAGCTGCTAATTATCTGTATGGAGGTGAGTGGGACTGTGGTCGACTCCCATCTCCTTCAAAAACCAGTGTGTATCCCCCAGGAGAAGAAAGCTGTGAATATTGATGGATCTGTCTATTTCTTGTCTCAGTTGTTTGTTTGATTTTGCCAAGACGTAAAGAGGACCTAGAGATGGAGCCCTATACAGGGTACAGGGTTACGGCCTGGGGCCGGAGCCTTAGGGGTTAAGGGTCAGATTGGGTATTCTCAGCTTCACTGAACAGAACACTCTTCAGTGTGGGCATCCCCTCCTCATTGAGAACGTGAGGAACATTTATATTTTCCTAATCAATGGACATCAAAGGAAAACAACTGGCCAACAAGACTAGAGAAGAAACAAAAACAATATATGTACCTTAAATGACTTCTGTAATGAATAAAAGATTATAAGAGAAAAAAAAATATTCATGGAAAAACGTGGACCGCTCTCTTGGAAATAATAGAACTGCTAAAACACCTCTCTACATTGACTCCTGTTCTTGTCAATGGATGTGGGGAACCAAGAGAAAGACAATCGCTTCTAAAGTAGCAGGGGGTTTAACAGGACGATGGACAGACAAACGGACAGACAGACTACTGCTGGACTACTATCTCCCTGGACTACTGGAGCTTTTGTGCCTCCGGAAAATACAACGATAAATTGACAATATTTGTAATAATAATGATGTGAACTGTACTATTAACAATGACAACAAGAGGACTAACTAACTGCAGTTCTAATATTAATCATTTATTATGAGAATAACAATATTAATGACATCATCAACAATGAAAACAGGGTTTCTGCTCCACTGATGAGGGAATAATCTTTCTTTAAATTCATTTACCGTTTCATTTTTTGGGGTTTACTAAAAGGAACATGTTTTCTTTTTTTTGTTACATCCTCTCAACCCCTTTATCTGATAAAATAATGCACAATTCAGTTCCGCCTCCTACTGTTCCCCATCTATCTCCTGTCTTTGCCATGATTGAATGGTTCAATAAGTCGTTATCAAAGAACAATAGTACAAAATGTTTATAAAGATATTAAAATCTATATCTTCTTATGTTAAAGATGACTGGTTGACTGTGTTTATTTAGTATTCAGACACTGGCTTACACAAGGTTGTGCAGTAGGCCCTGGAGATGGTGGTAGTCAGGCTTGATCCTCCCTTGTCTATCTCTTTATTATTAATTTATGGTTGAAATTGGCTCTGTCAGCAAGTTTGTCTTGTTCCTCCCTGTATCCCCTCAGAATGTGCACTACTTTGCAATCTGTCTCCCCTCATCAGACACTGCTGGCTAAACTGGCTGCTTTCTACAAATAGAGACATCTCCCTGGCTCAACGATTGGCTTTGTATACATATTCAACACACACATCATTAAGAAATTGATTTTATTTGAGAGAAATTGACCAAAGAAAGCAGGCCCAAAGCATTACAGTAAGTGACATGTATTGACCAAAAACACAAAAAGAAACACACAGACTACTGTAGGCCAACATGCAGACAGATTTCTGTACAGAGTCAGTGAAACACATAGCTCGGTATGATACACTGCAGTTCAATAAATCATTTAAAGGGCACTAAGTGTATTTATGAGTGTGTCACAGTGAATCTGTAGATATTCAGGGTTATTATTATTATTAATGGAACTTTAGAACATCAGTTATATTTCCTCTTCTCTACCTCTCTCACCATGATGGAAATTGATCCACAAGTAAGTGTGCAATTTCGTATTTTTTTATTTGTAATATTCTGTTAAACGAAAAAGTGTGTGTGGGGGGGGGGGGGGGGGTACGTAGTTTTATGCATCGTTGAGGATGCTGCGGAATTACATAAAAATTAATGAGTAGCTCTGGCATCTAATAGCATTGGGCTCTAGCTCCATCAAGCCCCTCTCTCCTGTCTTCTCTCTCGCTCTTCCTCTCTGTCTCTCCTGTCCTATCTCTCTCCCTCACACACACATATCTCACTCTCTTAACAAAACACCCTAAAAGCCCTTCACCAGACCTATATAAATGCATATTGAGCTCTCCAACCACGCAGGCTGTACTTCTGCAAGCCCACCAAGCCCCCTCGGCACTAGCTACATGAGACAGACAGGTGAATGTGTTACGGAGAGAATGTGTTCTTCTGATTCTCTCCCTGGACTGAGAAAACACTCCTTGTTTTTAGAGCATACTGTATCATCAATATTATTCCATCAGATACTGTACACTCTAGGGAGCTATACTGTGCATTTGATTTGCAGGCTTGGTTATAATATCACCTTTACCACATATACAGTTGTCACTGTGTGGCACTTTATATTTCTTCCCGCAGTTGAAATCATACGCTATAAACTCAACTCCACTTAGCAGTCCCTCTCAGTAGAGGCATCATGGAGTGATAAGGGTGAAGTATAGAGAATAAAACCATGCTGACAAACGATGCCACCATTTCCTTAACAGCATCATTGCCAACTCATTAGGAAATGACACTGACAATTAAGCAGTTTACAGCTACACAAGCCATTCCATATTACTGCTCGCTTCACTAGGGCAATCATTGGTTACACATTTAGTAGCAATCTCAGAGAGCCAGACACAACACCCCATTAACCAATCACACTCATCAAAATCTACTGCTGCCCTAGAAACAACGATAGTCTAAATGTATGGATGCCTATGACAAAAGTAGGCTATACAGGATAAATGGGGCCATAACCAATGCTAAATGACTCAAGACTTTTCAGTGTTTTTCACTTGGAGGTACACTACCATTCAAAAGTTTGGGGTCATTTAGAAATGTCCTTGTTTTCGAAAGAAAAGCAATTTTTTGGTCCATTAAAATAACATCAAATTGATCAGAAATAAAGTGTAGACATTGTTAATGTTGTAAATGGCTATTGTAGCTGGAAACGGCTGACTTTTAATGGAATATCTACATAGGCATACAGAGGCCCATTATCAGCAACCATCAGTCCTGTGTTCCAATGGCAAGTTGTGTTTGCTAATCCAAGTTTATCATTTTAAAAGGCTGTTGTGCTGATTAAAGAAGCAATAAAACTGGCCTTCTTGAGACTAGTTGAGTATCTGGAGCATCAGCAATTGTGGGTTCGATTACAGGATCAAAATGGCCAGAAACAAATAACTTTCTTCTGAAACTCGTCCGTATATTCTTGTTCTGAGAAATGAAGGCTATTCCATGCGAGAAATTGCCAAGAAACTGAAGATCTCGTACAACGCTGTATACTTCTCCCTTCACAGAACAGCGCAAACTGGCTCTAACCAGAATAGAAAGAGGAGTGGGAGGCCCCGGTGCACAACTGAGCAAGAGGACAAATACATTAGAGTGTCTAGTTTGAGAAACAGGCACCTAACAGGTCCTCAACTGGCAGCTTCATTAAATAGTACCCGCAAAACACCAGTCTCAACGTCAACAGTGAAGAGGCGACTCTGGGATACTGACCTTCTAGGCAGAGTTGCAAAGAAAAAGCCATATCTCAGACTGCCCAGCTTAATCTTTTCTTTTTATTGGCCAGTCTGAAATATGGCTTTTTCTTTGCAACTCTGCCTAGAAGGTCAGTATCCCAGAGTCGCCTCTTCACTGTTGACGTTGAGACTGGTGTTTTGCGGGTACTATTTAATGGAGCTGCCAGTTGAGGGGTCACCGAAGTACTACCTACTGCCAATCCCATTCTCATCACTCCACTTGTCATGTCTTGTCAATCACACACACCTGGTGCTCATTCCCCTAATTAGTATGTGTATAAGTGTTCCCTCTGTTCCCCTTGTCTTTGTGAGTGATTGTTTGTTGTGAGAGCGTGTAGCTCGGTTGAGCTACTATTCACTGTGTTTATGCCAAGGTGGATGTTTTCCCTTGTAATAGTTTTGTTTGATGCTTTGGGCATTTGATTTATGTAAACGGAATAAACTCTGGACTTCGGTATTTTACCTCCTGCGCCTGACTCCTTCGTTCACATCCTTCGAATCACTCACCTGATCTGAT